GGGAAGCCACATGCAAATGAATGAAATTAGATTACAGTTGATCGCCATGTACAAAAATTAATTCAAAATGTGTCAAAGACCTAAATATAGGATCTGAAAAAAATTTACATAGAAGAAAACATAGGTACTAAACTTATGAACCTTGGTTGTAGAGAACATTTTATGAACTTGACCCCAAAGGCAAGGAAAGTAAAGGCAAAAAGAAATGAATGGCATTATATCAAACTAAAAAGCTTTTGCATAGCAAAAGAAATGGATAACAAAACCAAGAGGCAGCCGACAGAATGGGAAATGGTATTTGCAAATAACAGCTCTGACAAAGCTTTAATATATAAAATATATAAAGAACTCGTAAAACTCAACACCAAACAAACAACCCAATTTAAAAAATGGGCAGAGGACCTGAACAGACACCTCTCCCAAGCAGATACACAAGGCCAACAGACATATGAAAAGATGCTCACCCTCACTAGCAGTTAGGGAAATGCAAATCAAAACTACAATGAGATGCCACCTCACACCTGTTAGAGTGGCTGTTATCAAGACAGGTAATAACAAGTGTTGGAGAGGCTGTGGAGAAAAGGGAACCCTCATTCACTGCTGATGGGAATGTAGACAGGTAAAACCACTATGGAAAGCAGTCTGGCGATTCCTCAAAAAATTAAGAATAGAGCTACCATACGGCCCAGCAATCCCTCTCTTGGGTATATACTCAAAAAACTCAAAAAGTGTATTCGAAAAGCTATAGGCACCCCTGTATTCACTGCAGCATTATTTACGGTGGCCAAGACATGGAAGCCACCTCGACAGAGGACTGGATAAAGAAGATGTGGGACAGGTACACAATGGAATACTACTCAGCCATAAGAAAGGGTGAAATCCTGCCATTTGCAACAACATAGGTGGACCTTGAGAATATTATGCTAAGTGAAACAAGTCAGTCAAAACCAGCTAAGAACCATATGATTTCACGCATATGTGGTATATAAAACTGAAACTTGCAGACACAAGCAGCAGTGTGGTGGTTGTCAGAGGGAAGGGAGTGAGGGGTGAAGGGGGCCTAACATATGGTGACAGAAGATGATCTGACTTTGGGTGGTGGGCACAGAGTGCAACAGGCAGATCTCGTATCATAGAAATGTGTACTTGAAACCTATACGATCCTGTTAACCAAGGTCACCCCAGTAAACTTAATAACAAAAATATCATCGCTGAATATAGGTAACACCATGCCATGAGCCAATAAAATGAATTTAATGTTGCTTTTAAAAAATATAGTCTAATATTTCTCTCTCAGAGAACAAATTTAAACGGTTTTAAGCACTTGAAAAATTAGATATCTAGCCCTACTTGCAAGCTAGCAGGTTACTGGCCACAGTTTCATAGGTGCTGGTAGAAGATGCGAAACTCCTGGGATAGAGTTAAAGACTCTCAGTCAGGCGCAGCAAGCAGTAGGAGCACCAGTGTGTTTTGTGCTGGTTTCCGGAGCCCCGGTTCCCACAGGCCTGAGAGGATAAGGTCAGGTAATGTTTGCCCGAGCAGTGGGTGTTACAGGAGAGCAGCTCTGAGTTGAGGAAACTCAAACAAGCCTGCCTGCCCTTTGCTCAGGAGAGAGACCCTATCTGTCTTCCAAAGCTCTGAGCAAACCTGGCCTTTGTTCAGATGGAAATACTATCTCTAGCTTCCAAGGCTCTTCCAAGGCTGTTCACTGGGCAGCCTTAAAACGGCAGTCTGGGGAAAAAGAACAGTTAGTGCCTTGCTCCTAGACACTTAGAAACACAAGAGATCCACGGAGAATTGTTTTTCAGTGTTGGTGATGGTTGAAACACTTTTGTATAAACAGACACATTTTTTTTCCAATTTTTAGGATACTGGCCCCCAAATGAATTATTATTTTTTTTAAATTGGGAACCAAATTATTTAACAGTTGCATTGAGAATGTTTTGGGGAGTCATAATCACATAGTTCTAGAAGGGCCTTAAATATATATAGTGTATACTTATAATACGCACACATATTTATATAGCTTATTTTTCCTCCCCAATTACAATGTAAATTTTTGAGGATAACGACTATGTCCGTTTTGTGTGCCTGTGTGCCTACATTACTTTGCGTTAATTTGATTAATAAAATGATATAGGTCTGCCCTCCCACTTTTTCTTTCTTCGACAACATTGCCGTGAGAACAATAACAAAGCGTGCTCCTGTAATCTGGGGTTCTAATAGCCATAAAAAATGCCCACCGTTTCTTATCCTCAAGACGCTGTATCCGCGGAACCCGGGTCAGGGCGCCGTCAGTCAGTTTCGCGCCGTCTTCACTTGACCCCGGGAGCCGCCTGCGCTGCGAGCCTGAAGCGGCTGCCGCCAGGCCGCGCTGCGCGTGGAGGTGGGGACGTCTCCTCGGGCCGTGGAGGTGGGAACCTTTCCTCAGGCCGTGGAGGTGGGGACGTCTCCTCAGGCCGTGGAGGTGGGGACGGACGTCTCCTCAGGCCGTGGAGGTGGGAACCTTTCCTCAGGCCGTGGAGGTGGGAACGTCTCCTCGGGCCGTGGAGGTGGGAACCTTTCCTCGGGCCGTGGAGGTGGGAACCTTTCCTCGGGCCGTGGAGGTGGGGACGTCTCAGGCCGTGGGCCTTCCAGGCGTAAAGATCCTTCTCCGCGCGGACCCCAGCGCGGAGGCGCGTGAGAACGGGAAGAATCGTGTGTCTCCAGGACTGTCTGTTTTATTGCGAGATGAGAAGTGAGCCAGCGGGTGCCCATTTTCCCCTGTGTCCAAGTACTGCCCCCCCCATTTGTACCCCCTCCCGGGGGAGCTCCGCCAGAGTCGGCGGCTGAAACACTCAGGGAAGTCCCCCGGAGGCCGACTCGTCGACACGAGGCTTCGGGGACCCTCTGGGCTCCTTTTCTAAAGGAAACATTTCCACAGCGCAGAAAGTACAGGGTGCTTCCGCACTCCTTCCACAGCAAAACGACCTCCCGCGGGCAGGAGCGGGCGGCCGTCCCGCAGCTGCTCCGGGGTCCTGCGCACACAGGGCGCGAGGGGGCGTGGGGGGCCGCGGGCGCCGGGAGC